TTTCCCTCATTTATAGTCTTAATTCGCTGATTCCGCGTGGACGACAAGGGGGTAGATAGCTCCTCCCTTGTGTTCTAATTTCCTAAAGTTAGGCTTTCATTGGGTATTCTATGTGGCTGGGGGTGGACCTCTTGCGTCTTATCGCTGTGTATTTACTCATATGACCATCTCCAGTGGCCTAGTTAGCGGAGCGTCTTGCATACGGTATTACACATGAATGCTGATTATCGCATTCTTAACCTCATTGCGTGTCCATGTGTTGTCATCTTTGCTTTTTCACTGCAAAACACTTTTCGCAAGTCTCCAGGCACCTAGGTAATGACTTAAATTTTCAATCCCAAATTTGATCCTCAACAGGGTGAGTGAATGATCACATTATGCTGAATGACAGACCTATTGAAAATGGCCGCAGGTACCTCTGAATCACACAGTGCAATTACCCAACTGCAGGATCAATGTTACCTCATGGAATATTTATTACAGTAAGTATATTTAAGAAGTATCACAGAAATGTCACTGTGTAAAGTTACAAAATTGGGAGTGTTCTCATCTGAAAATAAAAATTGCAAAACTAATAACGAACTTTGCAGAAGTCATCTCAAAATCAAAATTAAATTATGTAAAAGGGGCATACAGAATCACAGAAAATCCCTAATTCGCTAATGATCTGCCGATCAGCAGCTCCTCCCGCTGATGAATCAGAAATGGAACAACAGAATGTTGCTATATTTATACTTCTTGGCCAACAGATAAGTTCACATCACAAATAAACGTTGAATGCAATTTCATAATTACACTTTTTTAATAACGAATTATGAATGTATTCTATTAATCAACTAGGTTCTTATATGCAGGTACATGGAATGCCTGTCCAGAAACATTACACCAGCATTCTGGAACAACATTATAACATCAAAACTTGTGCTTGTGAACATATACATATATACACTGCATACAGTAGAATCCCAGTTCATTTCACTTAACATTCAATTTCAATGATCCAAAGTCAGTCAGTTGTGTTAAATTTCCTACAGTGAAGATTTTCCTGAGTTTAATGCTGAAATATACTGTTTTCACAAGAAACCTGTGAAATGGTTTCACTTGTATATTACATACATATCGCCCTTCTTCAAAAGTTTAGAGAACAATCACAGGACTTAAACATGGCAAGCCATTAACGGGTGGATGAAATGACTGCTAGTGTACAAATTATAAAAAGTCTGCCTTCATTTATTAACTTGTCATTACAATCAGCTACATCAAAGGCAATAATAACATTGGATCCAAATATTTTGAGCAATTACATAGGCATAAAGTCTTTTGCAACTTGTTCTTATAAGATTGTGTAATACAATGAAGAGATGATCACAGTAATTGTTAATTATTAATGCTTACACACTACATACCTCAACATTTCACATATTTAACAAGCAGCACCATATTTCAATGAGCTTATGACAGTTTTAGTTTTATCCCTTACCTCCCAATATTTGTCCTGGTAGCGACTTATCACATTGTAGCATTAAAGGCTTTTGTGTTATATGTCCATCTTTATATTATTTCAAGCTATCATGGTAAATTACAATCAGGCATATCAATATGAAGTGTCCAACATGTTGTACACAGTCTACATCATAAGAGGTTCATGTGACAGCTGACACTCTTCCTTTGGTGTGGGACAGCCCAGAGCATACTGTGTGGCATAAATACAGGGTGATTCCAAATTATTGTTGGGGTTTATTGTCTGGCTTAGCCTGCACAATCTGCACTATGTAGGCATAGAGGTGAAGGTGGTTATGAACAATCCTCCAGTCATCTGTGATAAACCTAACTGCAAAGAAGCCTGTCTAGTTGATTTTTGTGGGCTTTGAGAAAATGCTTCCAGATTTGATCAACATCTTCCTGCGAAGTGCTTGGTCTTCCTGCTCCTTTTGGGTGCAGAACACTACCAGTCTCTTGAAATTGCTTTAACCAGCATCAGGTAGCATTAACTGGAGGTGGGTCTTTTCCATACTGAGTACTGCAATGACACTGTATTTTGGTAATGGACTTCATTTTAAAAAAACTTTTTTGATGAATGTGGCAAAGACCTGGGCTACAGACCAGATGGTGGAGGCAGAACCAGAGTCAGACAATGACTTAGTGCGACTGAACCCATCAACTCCCACCTCACGCATGCCTCATGTGGACCCCCCAGGGTGACTCTCGGGTGATATGCGGAAACATACCCTCATGAAAATTGTGAAGAGTCAACATTCCAAGGGGAAGCATCCTTATAGACAATGCAGTGTTTGCACAGTTCACAAAAAAAGGAGTATGACTGTCTACATTGCAAGTTGTGTGTAATGCCACTTCACAAAGAGGAATGTTTCCAGAAGTACCACACTCAAGCACTTCTGGGAGCGTTGGTAAGTGTTCTCCAAAAATTCTAGTTCATAAAATTAATTAGGAGATTTTATATTAATTTTTAAAGTGAACAGTGCACAAGTTAGATCAGTAGGTTTAATAATGCCGGTCCCCAGGGTGATTTAAATATTTAAATTGCTGGTCCACGAAGTGTTAAAATAACACAGTTCTAAATCTGGAGGCATGAATTGTGGCACTACTGTTGCAAATTAGAAAACAGCTTACATTTTAAATCTTAAGATTGACATCTTCAAAATAAGTAACAAAGAGACAGCAACCCTTTAAAGTACAGCGGTTACTATATATACCACGTGGTTCAATATTAACAAAACTGCATTTCATTTAATATAATTCTCAGAGTGTACAGCAATTACCTCCTGAGACGTCTTTGTAGCACAGACAAGGTGGTTTTCCTATGGCAGGAACAGAATTTTTAAAAATTACTCCACATCTGCAATAATACTGATTAGAAATTTCTTGATCAGATATCTATATACTGTAACGTGTTATCACAAAAGGCCATGGTAGAGAGCAAAATGAACAGCTGCCATTAGGTAAAACGTTAACATGTGTGGATGTAACATTTGTGCATTCATACTCTCCTGGTGACATGTGCTTGCGGCTGTGAATTTCAGGCTTCCAAGGGTCAATGTCTGAGAGCGGAGGCAACTGTTTCTTACATACAGTTTGTTATCACATCCTGACACAAGTGACATCTGAAGATATAAACCTAACTTAAAGTAATGGTAACTGCAATAACAGAATGGAAGAAGACTAGTAAGAAATTACTGTAAACAATTCTAAACATGTATAAATATATGAAGAATGCAAAAGTACATCTCTAACTTAGTGCGATATACTTATCGTTCTCACAACCTTATTTGTTCTTTTTATGAAGAATTTTCATCAGCTCTTTTGACATGAAGTATGGTTTCTCTGCTGAGCCGTCATTTCTCTCACAGTCTTCCACTGCAAAAGAAAGTAAGTTCATTCTTTTTCCAATAATATATATGGAGATAAGTTAGTGTCAGCTTGTTCTGATTCTGTTCTAAACACTCCACAGTATGCAGCAACACATCTTGGTCTAGCAGCAACCTTCTACACTTTTTGGAGGTCCCTGGCTCAAATCTTGCTGAGGTTTTTAGTAGTCATCCTCAGTCCCACTACACAAATGCTGGAATAGTACCTCTGTATGGCCACAACTACTTCCTTCCTAATCATCAGCCACCTGACACTATATAGTTCACTATACAGTGTGAAAGCATCTTAAAATAACCATGAAAGAATGTCTTATAGTGTCATTCGTTAACTGCAAGACTGAACAAAAATATACGGTCACATGTTTGGGTAACATTTATTGCAGCTCATATCCATGCAGTTCAGGACTACAAGTAACACAGCGCTATCACTATTCTACACACTTTCCAGTTCACAGCTGCACACACAGACACACACACACTAGCGTTTTCAGTTCNACACACACACACACACACACACACACACACACACACACTAGCGTTTTCTGTTCTCGCTTGTTGTATTCTGGCAATAGATTCATCACAGTTCCACTGTAACTTCAAACTGCACATGGAGTGTCCCATTTACCACCTCATTCCTTTCATGCCATTTCTTCTCAGTCACCTTTGACTGCCATCTCCAGAACTCGACCCAATTCTCGACTCCAACCGACTGTTCTACTTGACTACACTCGACTCCTATTCTATACTCTGTCCCATTTTTTGATTCTGCCCTCTTATAACCCCATGACATGGACCCCATGGAAAACACCATCTTCTATTGTTGAGAATGTGTGTTTAATGGTCCGTTACATAGAAGTGGGTGTCCTTCTATTGTCATGTGCTCTTGTGTTGCGGGAATGTATTTGTCAACCCATTGCCTAGCAATGGTATACACACATCACAATACCAATAGGTAAGGAAAGAATTCAACATATTGTAACGTGTCGGCAAACCAGAGGAGTAACTTCTACGGAAACGCTAGAATGGACCGTTACATAGGAAGTAACAATAGCGGCACTGTAACCCCAACAGTGAGCCGTTGTACCGAGAACATCGAATCTCCACGGTTACGAGAATACGCGAAGGTTCCCACAGAGACAACGCGATAACAATGGGTTACTGCGTAGGAAACGCGGAGCCAACAAAGCGACGTTTCCAATGTTATAACAAAGGGTTCGTTGCCTAACAGCGGGCAAAGATATAAAAGCCCAGCTTCGACGAGAGGACAGTCAGTCTCGGATCGTCCCTCAGAGAAGGAAGTCTCGGAAGAGCCAGCTAAGAAGCCAGACGGGATCAAGCCTCCGGAGAAGAAAGTCAGTTGGAATATCCGTCTAAGAANTGAGAATGTGTGTTTAATGGTCCGTTACATAGAAGTGGGTGTCCTTCTATTGTCATGTGCTCTTGTGTTGCGGGAATGTATTTGTCAACCCATTGCCTAGCAATGGTGTACACACATCACAATACCAATAGGTAAGGAAAGAATTCAACATATCAACACAAAATAGATGAATACAGAAAAAACTGGATAAACCATTTGACAGATTATTAAAACAAATTCTATATTAGAAAGCCAAATGATTCCAAGACCAACTAAGACCTTGGGAAAGATGGAATGACTCTGTCAAGTTGGAACAGGTTTGACTGCCAGCACCATGAGGATGAGGAGGAGGAAGGGGAGAAGAAGAAGAAACGGGATCTGAAAGGAACTTAAGACTACTCTCTTTGGAAACACTTTTTTGAACTGCTTTCAGAATGACAAGGAAATAAATATGCGCATGAAAGATTTAAGGAATTTAAAATAGTGTGGAGCTGACCACACATCTGCATTTAGTGTTCAGGTCAAGAATGGTGCAGCTATACCTCTACTCTGCCCTATGTGTTCATGGCACAGCGACAACCTTACCTTACCATATGTTCACACATAATTCTATTTTCGTAAATAGTATCACTTAAATTCTTGCATTTTGGGGGGCTGTATACCAGTATTTAAAAGTGGAACTGCAGCTCATTTTAATGTTCTACACTACAAGTGGCAGCTGAGGAGTGTTCCCATCACATGTACTGCGGCCTGGACAGCTGAAGGAAGGGGCAAGGGCCTACCCACCTGCCTGCTTATCTATGTATGTCTCTACAGTACTTTGTTGGACCTTGCGCACTTTTTCAGTTTCTTAGTTTTATAGCTAGTTGGTAGGACTCCTTGGATGGGGGATCAGCCCATCACAAGGCAGCTATCCACACACAGAATAAATGTTCACAGACATCCAAGCCTTGAGTGGGATCTGAACCCACGACAGCAGTGTTCAAGAGAGAGAAGCCAGTTGATGCCTTAGACTGCACGGCCACTGTGACAGGAAATTACGTACCCATCATATGCTCTGTATTACATAACAGTACTGGACGAACAGTCATGACAATACCTGAAGCATGAACCTCTTTATACTTGGCTTTTATCTAAACAACAAAAATGTAAAGGTAAAAGCTAAAGCTATCCTTGCAATGGGCCATGCAGGCCCATAGGGTTGTGAGAGGTTGAGGCTCTCACATTTTCTAGACATTCGGCTCACAGATGGCAGTGAGGTTGTCAGCCTTACACGCCAGATGGCCATTACCCTCCATGAAAATTCTTGGTACTCATTTCTGTTAGAGGCTGAGTCAACCCCACGGCCATAGTGCAGCTAGAAGGATTAGGTCAACTGAAAAATCCAACGACCTCATCAGGATTCGAACCCGTGACCTTCCGGTTTGTAGTATAGTGCCTCAACCAACTACTCTACCGCATGTCCACTCAAGAAAAATATACAGATGAAATCACAAATACAAAGTACGAGGGTAAGTCAATAAGTAAGTTACAAATGGATACAGAACTTAAACAAATAAGAGTACTGATTTGAAAAATGCTTTAATTTCTCAACATAATCTCCCTGTACATTGAGGCACTTGTCCCATCATNGGGGGGGGGGGAGTGTTGTCATGCAAAAGCAACACGCCTTTGGTGAGGAGTCCTGGTCACTTCCTTTGAATGGCCTTATGAAGTTTCCTGAGGATGTTACAGTAGCATTTATGTAAATGCATTATGAGGTAGGCCATGCCAAGTGAACACACCTGGTTCCGACAGAAGCCTAAAGAATTTTATGCTGCTGGTTTTCACGGACTTGTGAAACGATGGGACAAGTGCCTCAATGTACAGGGAGATTATGTTGAGAAATAAAAGCATATTTCAAATCAGTACTCTTATTTGTTTGAGTTCTATATCCATTTGTAACTTACTTATTGACCTACCTATGTATTACATCACTTAAATTGAACTGCCTCAATCAGAGAGTCCTGCATAAAAGTAAATAAAATTATGCAGTTTGAAATGATAATAATACTTACAGAAACAAAGGAAAAGTGTATCCACAGCCATCGAATAGACTCCAAAGAACACAGTGGCTATGAAAAAGGTGCCGACTCCAATGATAACCACTGGTACAATACTGTAATTGAGGGACGGTATATTTACATAATCTTTGTACTCCAGTTCATGTGTGAATACATGGAATGATAGAGCACATATTCCTGCTGTTATCGCCAGTTTCCCCAAAAGCAGCAGGAAATCAGTCACCTACGAAGAAAGTCATATAATCAGTTAAGTTTGACACTGACTCAAAAGTGTTCTATTCAGTTTTTACTTGCTACAAGAGAACTATAACCAGAAAGATTGGAAATTCTAGTCATAATACAATTTGATAGGCATATTAATTTCACAAAATAACTACTCTTTCAGCTCACCTTATCCAGTACAAATACCCTTACTACATTCCTCATGAGCAAATTGAAGGCATCTCTGGCTGAGCGACAGAAGTTCTTCCCATATATAGCACACATTATGTATGCATTTTTACTGATGAATTTTATGAATTTTTCCAGGCACCAGAAGAAACACCGAAGACAACACAGGACTGCCCTGACAAAAGAATTATCATATTTCTTCAACTTGCGATTTAAGTATTCTAGTATGACTCGAATGACACGGCACACGGCAAGAATCAGGGACCCAAAGGCTGCAGTCCCCAAATGGTAACTGCAACAAATTAAAAGGAAGCATTCAGAGAAACTCCGGTCTATTATTATAGACACAAAAACAAAATTACATCTCACTCAATGGAACACAAGTAACAGCGCCTCAGCTGTCAAAAATGTTCCCACAGAATTAAAAAGCCTGCCGCTGGTTCCTGTCTTGAGCCAGATGAATCCAATCCATAACCTTCCACCATAGCCCTAACAACTATTTTGATATTACACCCCATCCCATACACAAAACCTTCCAACTGGTCTTTTCACCTCGTGTTTTAAGAAAAGAATTTTGTATGCATTTCCCATTACTGCCACTTATGTTATATGTCTCAACCATCTCATCCTCCTTTACTTGATCACCATAATAATGACTGGTGATGCGTACAAATTATAAAGATGCTAATTGTATCATTTTCTCCAGCCTCCTCTTACTTCTGAAGGGCAATTGTTCAATAAAATGCAATTTTACTGAGCCATCTTGAGATGCACATAAATCCACAGTAATTCACCGTAAGCAGTTGCTGAAAAGAGAGAACAAACTAGCAAGATGGTTTATGCATATTTCAGGTTAGGATAATGTACAGGATGTGACTGAAAGGTGAAGACAAACTTCAGACACCTTCCAAAATAAGAAAAAATGTCCATATCAGCATGTGTCTGGAAACATTTGGTTTGTGAGTTACAGTTGAAAGAGTGCATGATGGCACTTCGGCACATTTTAGTTGTGCTGTGCAAGATGTTCTCAGTAACCTGTATCATGATCAATGGATAGGTAGAGGAGGACTCGTTGCATGGCTTCCATGTTCACCAGACCTGAATCCTCTGGATTTTTATCTGTGGGGACAACTAAGAACCTCTGTGTATGTGGCTCCTGTTGGCAATGAAGAGGAACTTCACCATCACATTGTGGTTACCTGTTAGACTATCCGCAACTACCACGGCATCTTCGAATGGATGTGGCAGTCCATGATGAGATGTGTTGAGGCGTGAATTGAAATCTGATGGAGGGCATTTTGAGCACTTGTAAGAGTATAAATGTACTCTTTCAGCTATAACATAAAAAATTAATGTCTCCACACACACATGCTCATATGAACATTTGTCAACATTTTGGCATGTGGAACTTGTGCCCAAAATTTTCCACACCTTTCAGTTACACCCAGTATATATGCAGAAATATATATAAACAAATAATGGTGGTTTGAAAGAGAACAAGGGGTTCTAAAGACAGCCTACATTTTGATAGCACAGATCTGTATCCCTACAGAATGGAACTGTTGCAATCTGCATTCCCTACAGAACAGACAAAACACATTGTAAGATGAGGCACTGGCTAAACAACTAATGTCAGAACTATACTACATCTATACCACAGACCTCCAAGTAGTTCATTACACGTATACAAGTCTAGAATATACCATTATGTCTGCGGGATTGTAACAACATTGCAACAACTGACTTGATGATATGGAATATCACATGAAGAGTTTTTAACCTTATTTATGCCATACCTTTCGTTTTTATAAGAAGTTTATAGTTCATTGTATTTTTATACCATGTATTTTATAATGTAATAATTATCAAGTATCCAACTTCACTATCACAATTGCAGTGCAGCAGTGTGTGAATATGGTAATCATGTGTTTGCCTGATGATGGCTTTAATAGCCGAAACATGTAGTTAGGCTAATTTTAGCCTTGACCTTTGTATTGTTGTGTTGCAACGGACTCTAATAAAGAACTGTAATTTATTACTTAAGTATAGATCCTGTCTATCCTACTCAGATATAACATTAATTTTTTTAACTGTGACCATGTTGGTACTCAACAGAATTATAAACAATATATCAAAAACAGTATGTATGTATGTTAACAGTCTACATTAATACCGAATTTCATGTGCCTAGTTCTAATTGTTCCTTGGTTATCACCATCAAACCAAAGCTGAATACAGACTACATTGAGTGGCCATTTTACAACAAAACTTGCATATTTTTTCAAACATCTATTGTCATGCATAATTTCATGGCCCTAGTGTTCCCACCTCACAAGTTTGTGCAACCATCATGTTTGTTGCCCATATATTCAGGTTGTAGTCTAAGGAAACCAGTTGGCCTGGTAGGCTTCTCCACCCTGCAGTCTGCCCAGTCAGAACGATGCCTTCAAATAAGCCACATGTCTTTTTCAGCTGTGCTGAAATGGGTATAGACCTGGCCTCCTTCATCATTCAGGCTGTGTGCCCTGCAACCATGTGTTCCTCTACCCTTACCTGTCAAACCCAGGATCTGCAGCTACTACTCCAACCTCACTGCTTAGACATATCATTCACTGGGATGCTGGCTTGGAAACTCTATCTGGCTCTTATTCTAAAAATGTTGGGGTATGGCAGTACCTCCCCCATCATACAGTCCACTTGAAACACCCTTTGTTCAGCTAACTTGTTTAGATATCCCCAAGTGGGGCTCTTAACCTCAGAGTGACAGTTGAAGTGTACATGACACCAAATGCATAAGTCACTCCAAAGAGATGCACAAAATTTTTTGAAAAATTCAGTTTTTATGCTATAGTTTTCTATTTGTAGGGTGCACAGAAGGATCCTTCATGCTTGTATTCAAATTTAATTCAGCCCATTCCCAGGTGTAGCACTTTCATAGCACTCCTTGAAAATGGCTGCTGCGCCTGATGTTCGTCAAAAGCCATGTGCTGTTATAGAGTTCTTGTGTTGTGAGAATGAGACAGTGGGAAACATTCACAGGAGACTGAAAAATGTGTATGGAGATGAGGCTGTTGATCGCAGTACAGTTAGTTGGTGGGCACGCAGATTATCTTGTGATAGTGGGCACACCAATATTCGGGATTCTCCTTGCACTGGCAGACCATACACCGCACGAACACCTGACAATGTGCAGCATGTTAACGGTATGGTTTTGGAGGACAGACATGTAACTGTGAAAGAAATGTTAGTCCAACTGGGAATTGGGGAAGGAAGTGTGTGCAGATTATTGAAACATTTGGGGTTGAAAGAAGTTTGTGCAAGGTGGGTTCGAAGGATGTTGACAGATTCCCACAAAGAAACCCAAAAAACTGTGCGGTGAACTCTTGGCACAGTATGAGGGTGGTGGAAATGACTCTTGTGAGAATTGTGATGGGAGATGAAACATGGCTGCACCGCTTTGAACCAGAAACAGAGCATCAATCAATGGAATGGCACCATGCAAACTCGGCCACAAAAAAAAAAGAAATTCAAATCTACGCCTTCGGCAGGAAAAGTTATGGCTATGGTCTTTTTTGATTCAGAAGGGCTTTTGCTTGTGGACATGCCACAAGGAAACACCATTAATTTTAATGCATATGTGGCAACCCTAAAGAAACTTCAAGCTCAAATGCATCGGCAGAAACAGGATTCTTTTGTGGTTGCATAACACTGCCCACCACACATCAGTCAGAAAACCAAGGACGAGATCACAAAACTTGGATAGACATTGTCACACCCTCCTTATAGCCCTGATGTGGCACCCTCTGATTACCATCTCTTTGGTAAACTGAAGGAATCCCTTCACCAAACAAGATTTGAAGATGATGATGCCCTCATTACAGCCACTAAATGGTGGCTCAGACGTGCAGATCCAGAGTTTTACTGTGCTGGCAAACGGGCCCTAGTTCCAAGGTGGTGTAAGGCAGTTGAAAGGGACAGAGATTACGTGGAGAAGTGATATTTTATTCCTAAAGGATGTATCAATATACTGTATAAGTAGAAATGGTCTAGAATAAAATTTTAATTTTCAAAAAAAATGTTGTGCATTACTTTTGGAGTGATCCTTGTAGGTTTATTTTCCTTTTGGATACAGCTATATTTTGGTCTTTATTATTTATTCACTGGCCAAGGCAATTATTTTGCTAAAAGAGAAGTGTTATTTATATTATAGCTTTTTAATTAAACACATGACACACAGGTATTTTGATCCATTAATTGCTGAGAACTGCCCACTTGTTGCCCAATTTGAACACACCATCCGATTAAGTGTCCTCCTGTTATCTAATCCATGGCAGATACCAATATGCCCAGGTGTGTAGGAGGAGGGAGGAAGAGGCTGGTCGGTATTTATTACATATACAAATGATACTCAAACTTCACTTGCTGCCATGCAGTCTCAAAAACTGATACGATTAACCTTCATCACAAGAGAGCTTGGGCTTCTGTATCCCCCAATATTGTGGGGCTGGCAGCCAGAATGTTACAATGGGAAATGTGGTATAACTAATTAACTCCACAGATCTGAGAGAAGCTAACCGTTTCTGAGCTATTCAAGAAATTACCAGCATTTTACAGAACCCACAGATTCATTTCCATTCTCATAAGAGCCTGCCACTGGCCCCTATCCTGGGCAAGATCTATTTTAATATTATTCTCCCATAATCCTTCTGGCCGCACTAGGCCCTGGGGTTTACTCAGCATCTAACAGAAATCAGTACCAGGAATTAATTAAATAATTTTCCTGGGGACTAAAGCGCGGCCAGTGTGTAAGGCTGACAACCTTACAGCCATCTTTGAGCCGACTGTCTAAATAGTGTGGGACCCTCAATGTCTCACAACCCAATGGGCCTTCATGGCCTGTTACAGGGATAGCTTTACTTTTTTTTTCTTTACTTTCTCCCATTTATGCATGGAGCTGGGATAGCACAGTCAGTATAGTGACTTGCTATGGGCTGGATGATCGAGGGGTTCAAGATAAAGTCCTGATGGGGGAAAGTATTTTCACTTCTCAATGTTGTTCAGACCAGCTCTGGGGCCCACCAAGCCTCCTATACAATAAGTACCGGGGGCTTTTTCCCTGAGGATAAAGCGGGCGGGACGCAAAGCTGACCACTCACCTCCAACCAGTGCCAAGGTCAAGAAAACATACGTCTTCATGGCGTAGCGCTTAATTAGTTAAGCACAGGGACTTTACCTTCTTTCACTTTACCTATTTATTGTGGGCCCCTTGCAAGGTACCATTTACAGGAAACAAGGGCAGGAAGAGGACCCTTCCTAACATATACCTTGTCAATGTCCTGGATGGTCGCAGCCTCTGACATCAGGAGGACCTCAATCAGGAGAGTTTAGGCTCCTTGAAGGGCCGTAACAAGATCATGGATGCCGCACAATGGACCATGGTGGTCCGAGTGCTTGGGACAAGCGGAAGCCATCTTCCCACAAGATAATACAATACCATATGATGCTACTCACCGAAATATCCGTGCCGTACTGATTAGGATGGTAAAGAATGGCACATTGGATTTATTGAATGTCCAGTACCAAGTTGCAAATGTTGATGCCAGAATCATTTCTCCGATAGCAGAGATAAAAAACATCAACCAAAATATACCAAAAGCATTGTATGCATGAAGATAGTTTACATATTTCTCTTTCTCAGAGCCATAAAAGTGGCACACAGCAGTCGGGCATGATGCTAAACAGATACTGAAGGTGTCTGGATCACATCTGTCACCAGCCTGTAACAAATCATATTACGCTGAGGTTAGTTTAAACTGGGGCACGCAGTAGTGTATGTAGTTGGTTGAGGCACCATGCTACAAGCTGGAAGGATGCGGGTTCAATTCCCAATAAGCTCACTGGATTTTTCAATTGCTCTAATCCTTCCAACTGCACTATGGCCTTAGGGTCATCTCACCACTATTTGTGAGCTGATTGTCTAGAAAATGTTGGGAACATCGATATCTCGTAACCATATGGGCCTCCACGGCCCCCTTTATAGCTTTACCTTCTTCTGGCTACATTTATATACATACACGATGCACAATAATTAAGGCTGTGGGTTTGCTGTCTTTGAGTAGAATTTACAGTGGTCCTAAAAAGGGCCATATTTGTCCATTCTTCATAAAATTCCACATTCTTCTGAATCCCTGGAAAGGTCTACCCTCTGTCACTATTCCATTTTGCACCTGTGCCAACAAGTGGATGTATTTCTTCATGCGGGCTTTTGTCCATGTTTGCCCATTTCTCTCTCTGGTTAGGACTAGGTTCCTTTCTTTAGCCCCCCCCCCACCATAACTTTCATATACAATAAAGCTTATTCCTGAATTTACACACTTCAACACAGGCAGCATGTCCCTCCAAGACATCAGTATCTGCCCATTAAACCACACACACTGCCACAACCCAGATGACATGAAATCTTAACTACATTCACAATGTACACCATGACTCTCAAAGACTGTAAACAACTTGCACAGAGGTATTAGATTTATCATTATTTTGCCCATACTTTGCATAGAGTTTCTAAAAGCACCCAGACTCTGATTGGTATTGCCATCTATTCAAGATATTCTTAATTATATAGTCAGTGTCCTTTCAAAATCAAAGAGATGAGTCTGTCCCAACGTTGCATCCTGCGGCACCTTGCCATTCTGACGAGTAACATGGGACATAAGCCTCACAAATTCATGTCGCCTGTTGCCACATCACCTTCTGATTACAAGTACCATCTTCTGTGATGTGACGATAGTTATGGATGGGCGTTATCAGCACACCAGTAACCTTGCCACCAAATTCACATGCATGAATTGCAACACCAGAGACAGTGCAGATTTCAGCTCAAGTGGGAGGCTGGGCTACACTTCAGCAAATGATGGCTACCCCTCACATACACTATGAATGAGCAGAATAATCCTCCTTGTAAGGATATCCCAGGACCTGCTTTCTCTCACCTTCTCCCTCCCTGGGGCCACAAACAACTGCCCACCCCAGGGCCCCATTTTCTTATCTTTCCCCATTCATTCCATTGTCTCCTCATATCCCCTACTTCCTTCTCTTTATCCTTATCCCCCACTTTCTGCCTCTTACAATTCTCCCCTTCTCCCTCCGACTTCCTCCCTTTCACCTTCCCTTTCCTCCCACTTCTTCCTATACAATAATTCCCTCTTTCTTCCACTACCTTCCTCCTAAATTCTTCTATTTTCCCTTAATTCGTTTCTCTTTCATATATATATAGTTCAGTTTTGTTCCTATTACATATAACTGATGTGGCTGTAAGCATCTGCACACGTACCTCATATGTGCCACTGAGAGTATGACATGTGCAGTTGTCCATTGCAGCTTTATACACGGGGTGTGTGGAGGAGGCAAGGTAGAGCAGTACCAACAAAAACCAGCCTGTGACCAGCAGCTGCATCACCCAGAGGAAGAGGGGGAACACCAGTGTAGACATGATACTGGCCACAGCCCTGCAAGTAATAAGGACCCACAGATTATCTAGAAGGATTACAAGAACAGTGCATATAAATTTTATTCACATATTGGTAGGCCTGGGTACTACTGTTCTATGTGGAAGATCATATAACACAGCCTCCTTAATTCCTTCCACTGCCAAAGAAAATGATGATATTTCATCGAACATAACTTCAGCTTTCGGGCTTAATATTATAATCTGTAGACCCATTACTGTGTAATAACCTCAAAACAACATCCACTGCTAGGCAACAGATCCTTAATAGGCAAGCATACGCAGTCGTTACGGAGTAATGCCTTCACAAACAAATATACTGCCATGGGAAAAACTGGAGTTCAACAATTAACAGGGTTTTATAGGTGGTCTGTGCAAAGATGAACAATTTGAGCAAAGGTTCAGAGGGAGTCTGTGAAAACCAGACTTAGTTGGTGCAGCTGAGAGCCAGCTGGCAACAAAGCGAGGGCAGAAACTGAAGAATCCGCACTGTTAGAAGTCTTTACCAGGGAACAACTGGTGAAGACACAGCAGACTGAAAAGACTTAGTGTGTGCTGTAGTGGTTTGTAAAGTGTGGAGATCAGCAACGGTGCTATAATCAAGTGTAGTCATGAGTCATGTGTTAAAACGTCAATAAATCCAATCCAAGCCATGTCTATTGACACTCCTTATATTTGACAATATAATAGTTTCCTGTCCTTTTGTAAGCAACCTTTTAGTGACATTCCAGGACTGTGATAATATGTAACCAATCACAATGCCACTGTTCACATGTTGGCAGTATGCTCATACAGAATGTTTTGACTGATATGCTGAGCCATGCCCAGCTTAGAATGCTATTTACAAAACAGCCTGTAGCCTTTTTGTTCACCGTGTTCTTCACTCCCTTCTTCGCGTAACTGCTGACTTCCTGGTTACCCCCACTCCTATTGATCATGGTCTTGCTTACGAATATACTGGCTGGAAATCGTTTCAGATTGAGCCCTTGAAGTTCTTGCATCTCTGGCCTCGTTGTACATACTTGGGTGGCTAGACAAGGATTTCAGATCAGTGATTGGGAGGTGAATGTATATCCCTAAATTCAGCTTTGACTTGTCTTCACTAAATTTGCTTTTGGTAACACTTGCCTCTGCTTGTTCTGCCAGGTTTTACTTATCGTCAAGTCTTACCCCAAGGGTCCATTTCTGCTGCAGTGTTTATATTGTATCATTCATTGTATTTATTCTTTGCTTTCCAGCCTTGCCCTCTGCATCGGCCATTGCATAAATTGAAGCGACACAAAAGTTATTGTCATGCTGTGGTAATATTGGGTCTACTGTGTGTGCCACACCCCTGATCAGTTGCAATTTTATTGTTTGTTAATTACATGCCCACTGGGTCCCATTTTGGCCAAAATCACTGTTGTTTGTCCATGTCCTTTATTCATCCCTGACCTCCTTCAATACAGCCATCATCATGTATGTCTTACAGTGTACATGCTTGTCAAGTTAGTTTTAGCCTCTAACTGAACTAAACATTTTAAACTGACAAGCGTATATGGGGTAACACCCCATATGCACAGATGAGCCCGATGACAGCTAGACGCTGATCAAAACATTGTGTACCAACACAGTAGTGTGCAGTAACATTATGAATGATAATATAAATCACACAATCCTACAACATTACCCAACAGTGTTACACAGAGAATGGCAGAAAACATAATGCAGCATGCAGATTCACTGCTCATAATTGCTCCGCAAATAAGCATGTTTCCACAGCAACAACTGGATACAACAATAATGGTAAGCAGTGTTTTCTATGTGGTCCTTGCCAAGACATTATATGAAGGACAAGTCTTGAGAAAGTCAGTCAAGAGTTGTTGTAGCTGAGGCTGGGGAGAGCTCAGGAAGCCAAAGGAAGAGGAATGTCCGCCATTGGAAGCTGCTACCAAGCAATGGCTAGTGAAGACTAACAGACTGAGGAAGATCTATTGTGCCCTGCAGTGACTTGTGAAGTGTGTAGAACAGTGACAGCATAATCCTTACTTGTAGTTATCAGTTGATTACCAATCCAGTCCACATCCAGTCACTCTATCATGTGACATTAATATAGAGTAAACTATAACTTTTAGGATGCTTCAACAAAGAAACGGCTTTTGGGGCTCAAATCAGCTGTATGTTGAAGTTGTTCCAACAGATTGGAATTCACTACAATTTCCATCTTCAGGGTGAATATGCCTATGTTTCTTCCCTCTTAGAGGTTCAATATTCTTGCTCTTAAGGTTTTGCAGCCTAATGTGTTACTTCAGATTTGGGGATTTAGCTTGTTGTATATTAAAGCTGTTCTAACTTTCAGCATACACCTCAGATGCCAGCTTCCTGGGGGGGTGTTAATCATCATGTTGAAAAATGCAGCACATCATCCAGAGTCGGCGTAATCTACTCTACTATCTAAGTGTTGGAGACTTTGCTCTATTTCTGAATGTTTTGAAAGTGAAAGTTTTGAACACCTGTATTACTAAACAACATGGTGCAGGCTATTGCTTCTCTATACATTAAGACTGCTCCACTTCAAACTTTTTACCATGTATGTTCAACAAACAGATTAAAGTGAAGAGAGTTTCATGAGGTGTCACAACAGAAAGGAGGTCAGTGTTATTCGATCATTTCCCTGAAATGTGGAAGACTAAGAACAAATTAACTGCACAGAGTAGCAACGGATATAAAAACTTGTTCGTCTATACAGAATGTTGCACTTGTATTGTTGCCTTTTGTACATACGTGTAATCACCATCTTATACACAACATTTATACTTCATATATCTTACTGAAACACATTTGCCCCTCACATGGCCATCATCAGGAGAGTACACTCTTGCTAAAACTGTTGCGCTGTTGTTTTAGTATGCCACATGTGAACGCATTACTATTATTAATTTTAAAATCCTTAAATCGATAACAGAATTGCTAATTCAGCCACATTGCATCTAGATGTCAGTTGTGGGTGTTTTTTTGATGCCTAAATGTGTGTACAGATAATTAGAACTACTCTCTATCTGTCCAGCAAACTCCACAAATTTACCTTTTGAATACCAACAAAATATTGCCATATGGTGTGACTAGAGATGAGGTTTGGATATTGTAACTCTATTTCTTGGACACTTACACTTGTAACTACAAACAACTACGACAGTCTCACTGAGTTACAAACTCCAAAGATCACTGTAACTACAACACACAGAAAGTCTTCTCAGTCTTCACTAGCTGTAGCTTGGTAGTGGCTTCCAATGGCAGATGTTCCCTTTCCTCTGGGTTCCTGAACTGTACCTGGTCTCAGCTACCAGCTCCTAACTTCTTACACCTGCAACTCTCAAATGACTGAATCGTAGTGGTAGCATAGTTGGTTGAGGGGCTATGCTACAAGCCAGAAGGTTGCGGGTTCAAGTCCCAATGAGGTCATTCGATTTTTTTCAATTGACCTAATCCTTCCAGCCGCACTGTGGCCCTGGGGTCAACTCAGGCTCTAACAGAAATGAGTACCAGGAATTAATTAAATAATTTTCCTGGGGAATAAAGTGTGGCTGGCGCATAAGGCTGACAACCTTGCCACCATCTTTGAACCGAATGTCTAGATAATGTGGGACCCTCAACATCTCACAACCTTATGGGCCTTCACAGCCTGGTACAGGGACAGCTTTAATTTTTTACTTTTTACACAGTCCTGGCAAGAGCTGCACAGAAAATGTCTCTTCCATTGTGTGTGTTCTCTCGTTGCCAGGGAAAAAACATGTCCACAGAGCTGTTCCCTTGCAACGGCTGTTGTACTATCATCTGTTCACACAGCTGTTACTGGGCAGAGGGTCAAAATCTATATAAATAAAAACGTAAATGTTGGTTTGTTACCCCTCGAAGATCTCCGAAAATTCTTCACCGATTGCTTCGAAATTTTGAGACAAAGTTGCATTCGAATGCGCGCATTTTTATATACCTACTAGCTGTACCCGGCCATGCGTGAATCCGAAAAGTGAATGTTCGTTTGTTAGTCATCTTAAATCTCCGAAAGTTCTTCACCAATTGCTTCGAAATTTTGACACAACATTGCATTTGAATGCGCGCATTTTTATATACCTACTAGCAGTACGTGGCCACGCATGAATCCGGAAAGTATACTTCTATGGAAACGCAATAACAGTTGCATAGGAATTGCCGAAACAACAAACGCATTTCCCCGGAGATTAAAGGATAAGAGGTTCCATTGCATAACAACGGGTGAAACCGGAAAATATACTTCCATGGAAACACAATAACAGTGGGTCGTTGCATACGAATTGACAAAACAACGCGTTTCCCCAGAGATGAGAGAATAAGAGGTTCCGTTGTGTAACAATGGATGAAACCAAGCGTTTCCCTGGTGATAGAAAACAGAAGGCTCATTGTATAGCATCCGCCGAGGTATAAATAGTCCAGCTTGGACAAGAAGCAGTCAGTCTCGGGGCAGATGCCGAGGGATACAGAAGAGTCTGGAAGTAACCGCTGAAGGAGTCAGTCTTGGGATAGCTACCGCCGAATATATACAGTTTCAATTTATTTTTATTTTGATTTAATTATTTCATGTGACATTGCTATGGTAAACAACACAGCCCAATTCCAACGCAATGTCACACGAAATAATTAAATCAAAATGAAAATGACATTGCGTTGGAATTGGGCTGTGTCGTTTACCATAGCATTCATTTCATGAGTATAGTTTATTTTTCATTGTTTTTCATTTCGTTTTCTTAACTGTTTTCCTTATTTTTCAGTGCAATTGGTGGTGGGATTGAGCTGTGTCGATTTATCTGCGTTTGAATTGAAATATTTCGTTAGACTGAGCCACAGCAACGTGTGGCCAGGTACAGCTAGTATCATAATATCGAAATAAAACAAGTGTCACCCATGCAAGTGAAGCTGTTACCAGGTATGACAGCGATGGCTTTTACAGAAAAGTATGAGTCTTATAGACAATTGGTAGGACTCCTTGGTTAGGGGATCAGCCTATTACAAGGCCTTTACCTACACAGGATGTCACAAACACAGAAAAAATGCATACATATATCTATGCACTGAGTGGGTTTCAAACCCAGGATCTCCGTGTTTGACTGTTAAAACAGAGTACACACCTTAAGGGGTGTGTGTGTGTGTGTGTGTGTGTGTATGAGGGGTGGGCCACAATCGGGCCTCTGCACTGCGTCCAACAATCATCTACTTTGCTTACCCTTTAATTAACACCTTAAATCCTATACTTTGAATGAACTGCAGGACTTTATTTAGGGGGGCGTCATAGTAGTCACTTGGTTCCATGAAGAACTGGCCCAAGCTTAAGGACACATAGCATTGTGAATGGCATCCTCACACTCTGTATCATGGAAATTCATTTGAATATTAACTTTCCAACTATGTACACATCTCCCATCATGGACCAAGGGTGAGTAAAATTGGCCTTGTGAAATGTGTTAACAGATAAAAAATAAAATGCACCCAATACTCACTTGCTTGCCTCCTTAATGAGAGCTACTGCAATTCGGATTCTATTACGGAGAAAGAGCATCACCACTAAAACAATGCCCAATAAGACTGCAGAAATGAGAAGGAAAACAAGCCATGTGTATTTCATGTGCAAGATATGGTCCACTTCTTGCTGAACCTGGTTCAGGATGCCACTGTTGGAATTAGAACTTGATGATGCACTGTCTGAATCTCCTCCTGCTCTGCCCAGCTCATCATACTTCATATAGCTTGCATAGCAACCTGTAAGAAAACAGCTATCAGTGATGTGCAGTGATGCATGGGGCTGTTTTATATGACCTTGCTATCAGTTCTGTCTGAATGGCAAGAATTATGTGATAAAATCAGCACATTAACTTGTGTGTTTTGTCCACAACTGACACAAAAAGGAAAATTTAAAACAAAGGCACGGCGCGCACGCACACACCCATCGTCTCCTGGGTTATTATACCATACCGTCACACAGGTGGCTACCAAGTTTTTGGAGGAACCTGTTGGTCCAGCCTTCATTAATGTAATATCTAAAAATCTGTGACAATAGTAAATTAGTACAAATATTATGTTTCGGGATATTGTCCATCATCCTGTTTTTATATAAAACACTGCCCCAGTTTATATTTCAAAACATGTTTTGAAGACTGGATTCTGTCCCCATCTTCCGGTAAAACCTACTCAGTTGGGCCTAATCAATAAAGCTAGTTCCCATCTCTGGACACCTGTGCTAGCCAAGCACTAAAATATTAAAACTCTACACATATGAGGCACTGCACCAGAGAACTATCAGGATAGAAATCACCACTTGTGAGGCCAAATTCTCTGTATGATACCAACGTAAGAAAAACAAATTTTCCCACTCAACCTACACTGGAGATTTGTGGGTTTTTTACTTCTGCTGCAATAACGGGAGTCCAGATGGGAGAGATGATTGCATGGTCTATCAAAGCCATGTGGGTGGATTCCTTGTAGTTCCTGTATGTGGTGTCTTGGTTGAATCTGCAAGGCCTTCACTTCATTCCAAACATATTTTGTGGTCTTCTTTGCATGCATGTTGTGCTAATTTTGATTTTTCAAGCAGACTCTGTGTCCAGTTCTGTTTGTGCTCCTTAATGTGTACTTCTAAAGGCCTGCTTGTTTCACCAAGTCACATCCACCACAGTATCCTGATATCCTGAAGATAAAGCATCAAACTACCTATGAGACTGCAAAGTATCATAACCAAGGAGACCACAAACTATTATGACCTACAATGTTAAACCATACAACATACTTACAATATGACAGCAAACCAACAACACTAAAAAGTGACAGCCAGACCATGAAGCCAGCGAACCAACGCATGAGGAAAATGTAGATGAGGCACAGCAACATGGCCACAACCAGAGCTCCAACAATGTAGGGCCAGCTGTTACTCAGGTCCTGCACTATCTTATGACCCATCTGCCATAATGAAACAAAATTTGCAGTCATGAAAACTAGAGTAGATGGAAGGATGACAAGATTGAGGAACATCAAATGATGTAACGATTAATTCAGTATTAAATTTTTCTCAGTTTGGTGTTAAAACAACAGCCCTCCCCCCCAAAAAAGAAATACAAATTTTGCTTCCACTGTGTTACTCAAATGAATATTAAAAAATGCAATCAGAATTTAAAATACTGAATGTGGTGAAGGAAAGGAATAAAAGTAGTTTCAAAATATGAGATAAGATTTAACATTTACCAGCATAAATGACCCACACAATATAGAAGCAAAGGAATGCCCATAGTATCAAACAGAAAGAGGCTCATAATGAGGAACAAAGAAAACTGTTGTGCATATTCTAACAACCACACAGTTTGTGTGGGCTTAATACAGGCATACCTCAGAGATATTGCAGGTTTGGTTCCAGACCACCTCAATAATGCACATCACACAAATTTTTTGGTTTCCCAGTGCATATAAAAGTTATGTTTACACCATACTGCAGTCTATTAAGTGTGCAACAGGATTATGTCTAAAAAAAACAGTGTACATAACTTAATTAAAAAAAAAATATTGGTAAAAATGGTCTTGCCTCAATGTTGATGGCTGCTGACTGAACAGGGTGGTGGCTGCTGAAAGTTGGGTTGGCTTTGGCAATTTCTTAAAATATGTAGTACAGTCAATAATTTTATGGATTGGCCACACAGCGGTGTTGTTATGCACTACAGCGGATATGTGGAGCCATGAGATGGTGCCATGTCCGCTTTTCTCTCATCTCAGCAAGAAGCAGTTGCGTGTGTGCAGTTCATTCAGAAAGAAGGTCACTGTTGTGAAGGGTAGTTGTCTGCAAGTGGCAGAAATTGAGAAATGTCGCAGTGTGAGCAATGTGAAAACATCAAGTTCTGGCAAAAGTTAAGAAAATCTGCTAGTGAAACGTTTCAAATAATCAAGCAAGTGTATGGCAAAGAAGTCTTGGGCTGTAGTTCTGTGTTTAAGTGGCACAGATGTTTTGAACAGGGGAGAAACAATTTGGAAGATGATGAGGATACCAGTCAGCCAAGAATGATCATAACTGAGCTCAAGATCCAAGATGTTGCAACGTCAGTGTATGCCAACTACTCCAAAACAGTAAATATAATGGCAGCAGCAAAAGCAGGGATTAGCCACTGTACTTGCTACAAAATTCTGTCTGATGACCTGAATATGTCTCATGTTACCCAGCAGTGTTCCACGCGTCCTCACGCAAGACCAACATGACAATCACACGAGCATTCGCAACAAACTGATTGACAGTACTGACAAAGATGGGACATTTCTCAACTGGATCATAACAGGAGATGAAACAAGGTGTTTTCTGTATGATCCATAACTGAAGTGATAATTGGCCACCTGAAAATCGCCATCATCGCCAAGAAAGAAGAAACAGTGACAGGTCAAGAGGCAAGGTAATGGCTTGAACTGTTTTTTGACTCATCTGGAATTGTTCACATGGAAATCATCCCAGAAGGAGCAACTATAAGCAAGTACCGCTACATGGAGAACCTTCACCATCTACACAATTCAATTCATGAAGTGTGCCAACCTTTGGCACAGGAAGAACTGGCTGCTGCCACATGACAATGCCCCTGCACATCACTCTGTGCATGTCCAAGAGGAGCTGGCAAAACAGCAAGTCACCGTTTTGTCACGCCCTCCACACTCATCATGCAATTTCTTTTTCTTTCCCTGCTTGAAAGAAAGCAATGAGGGTGTCAATTTCAGTCAGCCAAGGAGATCATCACTGCCACATGGGAAGCTGTATGGGACCTTCCCGCAAATATGTTTCAGTAGTGTTTCCAGCAGCTATACCAACATTGGCAGACTTGCATAGTGGCCAACAGCGACTATTTTGAGGGAGGATGTGAATATGTGTAAGTGTATGTGACTATCTTGTAATATGGTTTGATAAACCACAATCCACGAAATTATTGACCATAGCAGGACAACAGTGAAGTTTCCTCAATTGACTGACTCTTCCTTTCACTACAGCATGTCTGTAGCATGCAGTGCTGTTTGACAGCATTTTACCATAATAGAAATTTCAAAATTTCAAAATTGGAGTCAATCCTCTCAAAAACCTGCTGCTGCTTTATTAACTAAGATTATGTAATATTCTAAATCCTTTCTTGTCATTTCAACCATGTTCACAGCATCTTCACCAGGAGTAGTTTCTGTCTCATGAAACCACCATTTTTTAAAAAATGCAATATCTGCAAAGCGCAATAAAATGAGGTATGCCTGTATACTGTTCAGTGTTCAGTCCCCTTTCATCATTTTCATAATATTTTTATATTTATATTCTTTTTCTTTTAATAGAGGAGATGTCAAGATTAATAACATAAATTTTTAATATCTAAATATCTAAATCAATGCATGATCAATTAAGACACATACAATTATGGCACAAACAAACGAGGGTTATCAGGCACAACATAAAAACAAGTATCAGTGTCATTCAAATGAAATCCTTTTAGGCTGTTACTATTGAACTCAGCCGGTTGAACGGGTTTCATTTGAACAACTCCCATATTATGACAGGACATTTCTTTATGGTAGTTTGTCTTGCATAAGATATTACTACATTTCAATTGCAGAGTAGGGCTGAATATATCTAATTCAGCCTATGCAGTCAAACATTTTTACATTCTGCCATACAAGTTATGAAACAAATTACTTTCCTGCTTTTTTCATCAGCCTGATAGCTGCAAGGCAGCTACTTCCATGTGACAGAGAGAGGACCACATTACTACAATGCAATGCAAGGCTAATAAATGCTAAAGAAGCTTTCACAATTTGATAAATGAATCACTTCACATCAGCAAATGCTATATGCCAATGCATTAACATGTACAGTAATTTCAGTAGCATTTATGTCTTAACTTTGCAATGCTAGTTCTAACACTTTTGAAGAAGACTCTTTCTAAGCAACCATAAGCCTTAGAGTTATGAAATTTGTACACATGTAATTAAGGGTTCTCTATATCGGCTATATCGGCCTGTGAATATATTTCTAGTAATTTTTAAATAGACTTTTGGGAAAGAAACTGTTAAAAATATATTAACAAGTATAACTTTATTTTTTAAATTCACTTAGTGGGGGGTGGAGTCCAACTGGGTCTACTCGGCACAGCGGCCACTGATTGGCCTATTGTAGCCTGTCCCATGTGATTATGATGATGGAGAGTTTGGTGGAATGAAGACTGGCAGGGGAAACCAAAGTACTCGGAGAAAACCTGCCCCAGCGCCACTCTGTCTACCACAAATCCCACTTGACCAGACCCGGGATCGAACACGGGCCACCGCGGTGGGAAGCCAGCAACTAACAGCTTGAGCTATGTCACGGTCAAGTAAGAAGTAACTAAACAAAAAAGACACATCTACAGAGACCTCTCAACTACACTTGTGATCAATGCCATAATTGTATCATATTACAAGTGCTTTGGAAAAAATCATCTAAATATGACAATCAAAATTTCAAAGGTAAGGCCTATATGCCCTTCTACATTACAAATGCCAGTAAAAGGTAAAGCTACTCCTGTGACAAACTGTGGAGGCCAACAGGGTTGTGAAACATCAAGGCACCCACATTTTCTAGACAATCTGCTCACAGATGGCATTGAGGCTGTCAGCCTTATGCTCCATCTCATTTCTGTTAAGGGCTGAGTCAACCCGAGGGCACAGTGTGGCTGGAAGGATTCGGTTAACCGAAAAATCCAATGACCTCATCAGGAATCGAACCTGCAACCTTCCAGCCTGTAGCATAGTGACTCAACCAACTTGTGGTAGTGAATATGCAGAAACCTCCTCCATCCTCAAGGTAGAAGAAAAAGCTGCATATCCCGACAAAGGGAAATATGGATAGAAAACAGGACTATGGCAGCAATGTTTCCATTCCTTTTTCTTATATCTGTCCATAGCCTCATTTTCTGGAACAGTTTACTCTCTTGCTCTGAAGCTGCAAGGAGTAGGTTCCTCCAAATCATCATTGCCTACCACACAATACAGCATCACATCCCCAGAACACAGCAATCTTGAACCGAATACTTTTATGTTCATACAGTATATGTTAGCTATACATAACTGACGTGAACTATAAAATGATGTGTATTTTCACGAAATGTAAGGTTCTGTGTCATACTATATTGGAAAGGTCATCTTCTGCTTCTTGTTAATTGAAACATTCTGTTAACAATATGGGCAATTTGAAATGACCATATTTTCATTACCATGGAAGAAATGTATGAAGGAGAATCAGTAAATAGGTCACAAATGGATACAAAATGTAAAATATGTGATATTCGAAACTGGATAAAAAATTATTTCTGGACATATCCTCCACCAACAGTGATATACATCCCATCACTTTACCAGTTGCATCAAAACCCACAGCAAAGAAGCCTTCTCAACGTTGTCTCAGCCACTTTTGCACCTCTGTTTCAACCTCTTCATCATCAGCGAAATGTTTGACACCAAGGTGGCAATATCTTGACTCAGTAGTGAACCGCTTTAAGTAACAAACACTTTCCACCATAAACAACAGACATTTCTTTATGAATACTCTTTGCATCGAGTCCTTTTGCCCACAAAAAAGGCACAACAGAATTCTGCTCTTTGGTATCACACTCTAAGGAACAGTCATCACTTTGACTACTGAAACCAGCCTCTGAACGTGCACATGCGCATTTGATACCTAGCCTGTCATGAAGCTGGCCTGTGCTGCTACCTACTGATACCCATACAAAACTTAATATGTCCATTACAGCTGCTTTACTTCCATTTGTGACCAATTTACTGACTCTCCTTCATACCTTTGTAAAGTAATAGTGGAAGTTCTGGGAAGAATTAACTGCCTACTTTCCTTTGATAGAACATGGACAGCACAGGAAACAATGTGTCCAAAATTTCTTCTACTGATGTGCGTGCATTCATTGTCATAGTAACATTTTTACCAAGCCGTTACCTAGCAACAATAAGGGGATAAACATACAGACTGATGGGAGGGACTTATGAAGTATCCTGTTGAGATGGGCTCAGGTGCCATGATATACACACCAACTTTCAAAAAATTGGTTCAGGCATTAAAAAGTTGATGGGGAGCATTTATAGACAGCATGCTGATGTAATAAGTCTAATTTCATTTTTTCAAAATAATAAAAGTAGGCCAAAAATGATTAAAATTGATACAGAATTGTTGAGAAAAACAGTATTATGCATGCACTAGTTATCATGCAGTGTGTAATCCAGGGAGGTAGCCAAGAGTGCACAAACATGTCCAAAAATGAGGCCTGCAAAAACACTGATATCACCACAAGTTTCAGAGATATGCATGCAATAAGAAGCCACTGAGAAAGTACATACCATAACATAGAATACAGGAAGATGTGTTTCATATGCACAGATCAGCAATTCTTAAGAGCTGTGTAAATCACCAATCTGATCCAACTGACGTTAAAATCTGACAGTGCTCTCACCTAACCAGACTGTGAAGATAGGGACTGACAGTCAAAACTGACAAGCATGTACCCTAACACATTACAAGTTAACTTTGCCCAGATCAAATCAGGTGCTGGACAATCTGTGTGCTGTTACACACTCTCCTGGTACTTTCACAGAAAGAAGAGATTCATGTGCTCAAGTTATTTTTTGTAAACAGCGTAAGGTAAGTTAAGGTGAAGTTGTCCCTGTACTTAACTAATAAGACACATATGCGGTAGTAGCATATGCGGTAGTAGATGTACAGATCCACATTTTCTTGACCTTGGCACTAGTTGGAGGTGAGCAGTCAGCTTCACGCCCCAACCACTTTACCCCCGGGGAAACAGCCCCTGATACCCATTTTATAGGAGTGTGGGTGAACCCCAGAATCGGTCTGGATGACATTGTTGACCCTACCAGAACTCGAATTCTGAACACTATGTCATCCAGCCTGTAGCGATTCGCAATACCAACTGCACTATCCTGGCTACTTGTAAAGAGCATGGAGTTGAAAATTATTAAGACTTGAAACTCTTGGACTCCTGTGCAGGGTGTCTTGACAGGTCTTCAGTGAGTATTCAGCATTTGGATTTCTTCCCTTCAGCAGCAATGAAATTGGGGTCTGACTTGAACATTTTCCTGATAATGACAACAGCGAGAATTTGCTTTAATCTGGGTGAAGTTATATCAGTAATGTGTCAAACTATGAGTTTGTCAGTTCTGCTAGCGATCTGAGAATCTCTGCAACCCGACTTAAGACAGGAACAGCGTCAGACCCTTCCAGCCAAATGGATCAATTATTTGTATGAAGTTCTTATATAAACATTATGCTTAACAGAAATAATTAAAAGTTGTTTTATTACCTTCTTTTATGTTCATCAGAATGTTCATGCAAATACACCACCTGCATTAATATCCCTTATGCTACATTAGATAATTCTGTATATTCCTAACCATTTAATAATTTTTATATTTGCAATAATTTCTCCTGAATTTGCACACACATTTCAAGGAACATTCCCCACATTTTATATAACACATTTTCATTACACAATCAAGTTCAGTTTTGTGACATCCAAACAAAATATAAATATTAGAAGAGATGCATACTTATGAACCTTGACTGATCAAACATTTCTATTCTATTATCTGAATCTTCATAACCTTCCTACAAACAACACAAGATAAATGTGATCCAGGACTAGAAGTAACACCCAAACTTCTAATGTGGCACTATTAGTATTATAGCTGGCATATTACTGGTTATTGCCACATAAGCTGAAAACGTGTAGAACAGAGAACACACTAAACATCATCAATCCAACATTCATCCATTGATGGGTGAATATGAAACATGTCAGGAGATGTATGTTGCACAATGCAACTTGAGCAAAACAGACATTAAACAACAATATGGGGGTAAGTCAATAAGTAAGTTACAAATGCATATAGAACTTAAATAAGAGTACTGATTTTAAAAATGGTTTTATTTCTCAACATAATCTCCCTGTACATTGAGGCACTTGTCCCATCGCTGAAAACCAGCAGCACAAAATTCTTTGGTCTTCTGTCGGAACCAGGCGTGTTCACACGGCATGGCCTACCTCATAATGCATGACAGGTTAGGTTTCCACAAAGTCTGTGCACGTTGGGTAACACAAAATGCAAAGAATGGGTCTGGCATTACAGCATCTCAATCGCTACCACGATGAAGGACACGATATGCTAGCCCGAATTTTCACAGGTGATGAGTCTTGGGTTCACCATTACCAGCCCGAGACAAAGCGTCCATCAATGTAGTGGAAACATCCTGCATCGCCTGCCAAAAAAAGTTTAATGTGACACCATCCTCCAGGACAGTGATGCTCACAGTCTTCTGGGATCACGAAGGCATACTGCTCACCGCATTCCAGCCTCAAGGTCAAACCGTAAATGCCGACTCCTACTGTAACATCCTCAGGAAAATTCGTAAGGCCATTCAATGGAAGAGACCAGGCCTCCTCACCAAAGGCGTGTTGCTCCTGCATGACAACGCGCATCCTCATACTGCCAACAAGACAAATGAGAGGCTCCGAAATTTCAATTGGGAAGTCCTCGAGTATCCTCCATATAGCCCCAACCTTGCTCCAAGCGACTTCCATTTGTTTGGCCCTCTTAAACATCATTTTCGGCTGAATATTATCCCGATGATGATGCTGTAGAAAGGGAAGTGACCACCTGGTTCTGACAGCAGCCCAAAGAATTTTATGCTGTTGCTTTTCAGGGGCTTGTGAATCGATGGGACAAGTGCCTCAATGTACAGGGAAATTATGTTGAGAAATAAAAGCATATTTCAAATCAGTACTCTTTACTTGTTGAAGTTCTATATCCATTTGTAACTTACTTATTAACTTACCTATGTATATACAAAGTACATAAATAACAAAGCAAGTACAGAACCTAGTAATTCTTTTAAAAGCAGCAAAAAGAAATGGGTCTTGCCTTTTCAAAGAAAGCACAATTCAGTTTCTATTATTCGAGCACAATTCCTATAAAAGTGGCAAAAAAAGTGGGATTTATCTTTTCAAAGTATAAATTCCAGTACAAATATTATATTTCTGCGCATTATCCACCATCCTGTTTTTATTTAAAACATCATTGTGCCCATAGATAGGAACTAGTTCTGTCAAGATTGGGGCCACCTGAGTAGGTTTTACCTGAAGACAGAGACAAAATTCAGTCTCCAAAATGTTGTGTTCCAAATAAAAATAGGACAGTGATTTTAAGTAAAAACCAGATAATGGACAATGTCCAGAAACATAATATTTGTATTAATGTACCATCGTCACAAACTTGTACATATTATAAATTTCAGTATCTTCTATGAATAACTAGGGAAACCAGAGCAGAATTTAGGTAACAGAGTTCAATACTCAAATACAGACCTCCAGAATGGAAAGTACATATGCTCAACTTCTTCCACAGCGATTTTTTTCCAAACTTTTCATTAACTAAAAATTAAAAATGGAATTACTGGTGCTCGTATCATTATGTTCTCAAAATACAAGCACTCATGAACACAAGACTACATTCAACTGTACCTGTTTTGCATCAGCTAAGATGTTTACACCTTTCTGACCCAGCACCAAATCCTCCAGTGCTTCTTTGGTCTTATTAAAGAAGTTCTGTAAGCTCTCAGACTCGGGATCTATAGGTGTAGGTAGGCAGCGTCCAGAAACTACATAAAAATATAGGACCTTCCATCATTAACATACTACGCTCAATTTGCAGTTCTCACAGCAGTGGTAATAAGGAATTCTGTCTTCCAAGATAAAGTGCTGTGCAGTCTGGTGAAAGCCAACTGATGTTTCATAGGAACACACAGCCTTTTAGGGTCAAAGCATAAGCCATGCAAGAGACCAGCAAGAAACAGCAGTGAGCTGAGCTCAGCTTGCTGTCTGCTTCCTCTGAAATGTCAGTTGATTTTCACTGGACTACACAGGACAAAGAACTCTTCTTCACAAGATTAGTTTGTAATTCAAAGCAACATAATGATCTGGAAGTTAAGGACTGTTTTTATGGCTACTCTCTTGATCACTTGATCACCTACAAGATTACATACCGACATAGCCCTGAAGACCCAAAAATCTGAATGTTTCTGCTGGTGACTGAAATGCAACCATTCAGCCCATAAACAATTATCTTCCTAACTGCCATAACACCCCGTGTTTGAAGAGCAGCTTGGTGAAACAATGCAACAAGGAGGACTGGCTAAATAAGAGACTGAATAATTTGCTGGCTGGCAGCTTGGCTGGGTATCTTGACAGGCTGAATGACTGACTGGTGAACTGACATGCTGAATGAGTGAATGGGTGACTTGACTGGCTGGCTGACAGTATGATAGGTGATAAAAATTTAGCTGAACAAGGAATCGCCCTTTGATATGATTACAAAAACTTGCAAATGTAAGAGCGACCTGTTAGAACTGAGGTTCTCCTAGAGGTGACTACAGACAGTATTACATTTTTGGGTGTGATGTCATGTAGTCTGACAGATGTTCAGGAGCATTTCAGAGGAACACACTGTGGGAGCCTCAACATCTCACAACCCTATGGGCCTCCACATCCTGTTACCGGGATAACTCTGCCTTTACCAGCAAACTGAGCTATTTTTGGATTGAACCATACTTAATAATTTATTGCTAGTGAAATATAACAAATTTCCCAGTTTACAGGGGACATTTCTGGGGACATTTGAACTAACGGAAAAATCACACTAAAATTTTAAGTGGTATTTTTATATTCATGGAAAGTTTCATGATGTACATTGTCACTTTATGTAACCAAGCAAAGACAACCCTATAATATTAATATAAAATAATATTCACAAGCGAAAACCAACTGCACTGTTGACTGACACTTTTATCTTTTCACACAAAGTCTGACTAAATCCAGCAAAAAGAAAAATTCATTACAATGCATATTGAGAAGTGGGTGAGGCTTAAATGCTGACTACTCCACCCTATCACATTTCAAAATACAGGCTGCATCTGAGAGCTGTACAATGAAACCTTAAATTCCAAAAAATGTCTCTGATCATGGCGTCAACTTCCATTGGGCTATGTCTGCATAAATATTAACAAGACTTCAGCTGCATTCATTTTTTAGGACTGCAATCTTCTGGTATGCAATACTGACAGTCATGAATGCTCTGAAGGAGCATACCGCTTCCATCTTCAGGGTTATAATACACTGCATGTTGTAACATTCCAGAAGACATCTATCTTTATATTCACTGCCATGAGAACATAAAATATTATCTGTTTCAAGAAATCATGGAACATGCTGAAAGGATAAAAACGATATAGCTCAGCACACTGGCTTCCTTACATACCTGTGAATATGATGTAATCTTCCACTGAAGGTGAAGACAGAACAAACCTCCAAGTGGATACTCACCAAACTATACAGTTACATAGCTATGAAACCCTTGAATCCCAACAACTCTCTGCTATATGAAGTAACTCAAGTCATGAACAAACAAACACACATGGCATAGGATAAGTTGTAATGCCATGCAGTTCGGAGGGAACCCGACATTTTGGAGGAACATTCAGCTGTGTCTCAGCAACAAGGCATTGCAATCTAGAAGACTGCATTCCTTAATGTCACTGTCATGGGAATTTATTTGGTCTCCTCTGCTTAAATTGTGTGTGGAAAATTAATGCGTCGGAGAAAACTACATAATGAGGAGCTCCATAATGTTTAGTTTTTGATAAGTATAAACAGAATGATCATGTCAAAGAAAATGAGATTGGCAGGGCATGTAGCATGAATGGAGGGGAGAAGAGGAAT